TGGGTCCTACAACAGGAGAAATATTTGCACTGCTTTCCATTATTCTAGTCCCAAGCTGAGGTTCTGTATTCGAACTTGGCACAGAAAACAAAAGTTGGCAAGAGTTTCTAGAGTGCAGAGAAAAGGAATTCTCCAGAATAAAAGGCAGGGAATAGGAAGACTAAACCCAGAACCCAGAAGGTGTTGTCCTAGTTTTAAAGGATTTGCTAAGGATAAGGAAGTGTATACTGCTTTCAAAAGTGAACTGAGAAGGATGCCCTCAGGGCCCAGCCACAAAGGCTCAGGCACTGCTGCAGAATGCAGGAGACCATGTGGGTAGTAGGCTCCAGGTTCACGGCCAGGCCTTTGACATGCCAGGTGCATCTGTGAGTGTACTCAAGCCAGGCTGGCTGTAGGGCTGGGGAGAGGATCATGGCATGAACAGCCTACCGAGAGTGCTCAGTGTCTCTTGCTCTCTCTTCCTCTCTCTCGATGGATAAAAATAAACAACAAAAAAATAAAGGTTGCCTTGAGACATTGGTGAGTGTAAGAAAGAACAAGGTCCTTTGGGACCAGCAGGTGGTGTGGTGGTTAAGGACGCTGGACTCTCACATACCAACCGCTGTTTGAGTTCTTGGACCTGGCTGCTTGCTTTCTCACTTTCCCTCTTTCTCTCTCTCTCTCTGTCCCTCTCTGGTCAAATTAAAATTAATAAAATAAAGTTAAGTAAAATAATAATGTTTTAAAAAAGAAAGAACAAGATCTTCAAAGTCCTGCCAGGAGATGTTTGAGGAAGTTGGCAAGAGCTGAAATGGAGCTGACTCTATTAATACTGATACATTTATGCAGCCGACAGGTGGCATGGTAGTTCAGGCACTAGACTCCCACAGGGCTGACCTGATGGCTTGCTTTCTCACTTTCCCTTTCTCCTTCTTTATGTGTCTCTCTCTGGTCATGTTAAATAATAATAACAAACAAATAAATAAATATATTTTTAAAATATTGATACATTCACAACAAGTTTGGAAGCCCAGTGTAAAACACAGCCATTATTAAAAATTAAATAATGTATATTTTAAAATAAAAGTAATAAATACTCAAAACTCAGCTTTTCAAAATTACTTCGTAATGATCTACGCTCTAGGGTATCTGTATCCACCATAGTGGCATGGTACAAAATGGTGGGCATCTCTCTCCTCCTCATTCAGTGACTTTATGTGGACAGTTAAAATCAAGTGTGGAGGGCATATGTACACAACGAAAGCTGGGAAATGCTGCAATTTCTCTTTTTCTCTTTCTTCTTTTTGGGTAGAGCATTCAGTTAAACATGCACTGGCATATTATCCTTTTGTTTGTGAGAGAGCATGTACACAAGAGAGAGAGACATGAGCCCGTCCACAGCTCTGGTCACACCATGATCCCCTTCGTCCAGTCCCCTAGCCATCTTGGACATTCGCAAGTGTGCCCAGCTTGTTTTAGGCTGGCAAGGCTGAGGATTTCAATTGCAGCACCATGTGAAATCCACTTCTCTTGAGTAATGTATTACTGCTGTGCCACGGAGCTACCCTGAATTTTTTTTTAATTGACAAAAATTGTAGCATGTATGGTACACAACATAATGTTTTGATATATGCATCATTGTAAATGGTTAAATTAAGCGAATATATGCAGTACCTCAAATAGGTGTCTCTTTATTTTGTAGTGCTAATACTTAAAGTCTACTCACTTAGAAATTTGCAAATATACAATATATTGTTATTAACCATAGTTACCATGAGATACAATAGATATCTTAAACTTATTTCCCCATCTAAACAAACTTTTGTATCCTTCGACCAACACCTCTTCATACTCACCCTGCACCTACCCTCTCGTAGCCTTCGTTCTACTCTGCGTCTTCGAGCTCGACATTTCAGACTCCACATAAAAGTGAGATCTGCAGCGTTTGGCTTTCTGCACCAGCCCAGTCTTAATGGGAACACTTATTGAGTGCCAGGCCCTGAGATAACTGCTTTCCATACATTATCTCCTCTTGATCTTAAAGACCCCTATGAGCTAATAGCTTGGGTTTTCCCAGAAGAATGAAAGGAGTTGTGATCATCCTCTCTGTTCCATCCAGTGTTCTACTCCTACAGACCGAAGAGCTTCAGTAATTCACCTGGGATAAATGGACACTCCAGCGCACACATTCTTTATGGCGGGCACCTGTCGTCCTTAAGTCCCAGGTAATCGTAGATGCTCTTAATGTCTTCCTGTCATATTTCTTAGCATTTACCATTCCTCTGTAAGCCCTTAAACATAAATGTGCTCAGGAAGAAACCATAATACAATGGAAATATACATTATGGGTTGGGACCGAGCAGATCTGGATTGGATGGTACAAGTAAGTTAAACCAAACAATAGTCCACACCCATGTCGCCTCTCCCTTGGTTATACTTATGACCTTGTCTAGCATTGTCTACAAACAACTAAGGAGGAAAAATTCAAGTCTGGTCCACAGATGGATCAGGTCAATAATGTGCAAGTCAGAAAAAGGACTGTATGTGCTTGCCAGAGAGAGAGACAGAGCTTCCTTAAGGCTTCATTTAGGGCGGCCTTGGCAGACGGTGATGAAGGGAGAACACGCCACTGGGCGGGTCTTCGAGCAGTGTTCCTGCCATCAACTTTGTGTGGGATGCAAAGTGGGCCAGTGTGACTGGTTTCAGGCCAGACTCATGTGTAATCTTTGGGGCCCTACCATAGGAAATTATAAGGCTCTTCCTGGCAAACTTAATGGGGGAAAGTTGTACTCCTCACACCAAATTTAGTTCAAAGGCAGTACATTGCAGTTTTCCCAAGGGAGTTGCAGTCAAGAATTCAGCTCCTCCCTGGGCTGGCCACACTCAGATGTATACCTGCATTCCTAGCCCAGGTGACTACATTTAGAGGTCTCCTTATCAGAGGCCTTCAACCAAGAAACTTTCCTCTTCCCCCCTTCCCTTTTTTTTAGAGATTTTTGTTGTAAGGTGCCTGCGCTTACCAGAGAGACAGAGACAAAAACCGAAAAATCACCCCCCAGGGAGATGGCTGTGGCACAATCCCGTCTCCTCCATTCTCCTCTTCGGATTTGGGGCACACACACACACACAGACACACACACACACATGCCCCAGCCTGAGTTTTAAGCCCCTGGGTCTGGGACTCAAACTGTGGTTGACTACATGGGATTCCAGTGATGTAATTGTTATGCCATCTGATGGTCCGTTTTCTCCACTTTGAACGAATACTTTTCTACAAAAAGCCCTATCCCCTAACCCAGCAGAAATCATGAGGGGATCTAGAATAGGTGACATAGCGGAGAGCTGACTCAGGTCCAGCTGCAACACTAAGGACTACGACTTGTTTATCCCACTGGCCCTTTTACTGTAGGTCTCTTTTCAGAGACTGTGATTGGCACCGCCTTGAAGAGACATTGACAGCACTGAAGCAAAACTCTGAACATTAACCAAACCGAAATTCTGATATCATTGTGTGGTTAGGATGGGGCCCAGGGTAAAAAATGAGGATGGCCCTTGCTGGCCTCGGTCATGGTTCTTGAGAAAGAGAACCAGGCCATCCTCTTCCATAATGGGACGCAGTAAAATCACTTCATTTCTAAAGTCCAAATCTATCACACTGGCAAATTAAGAGAGAGGTGAGTGGGGCTGGCCTCATCACCTAGTAGTTAAGGAAGCTGGATCCAACATGGCCAACCACAGTTTGCATCCCATGCCTGGCAGTTTGAGTACAGGTACATGTGTGCATATGTCCCAGATCCCAACAGGAAGGAGAAATGGAAGCAAAGGGATTGTAGCATGACCATGTCCCATTAGAGAGTGCTTTCTCCCTTTCCTTCTCCTCTCCCTTTCTGTCTCTCTGGCAAAAACAAAAGCTCTCTAGACATTAATAAGAAATAAGTTCATGAAGTACAATGTGATTTTTTAAAATAAAGGGTAGGTTAGTTTGCTTAATTTACTATAGTGTGCATGTGCTCACCAGAGAGAGACAGAGAGAGAGGAAAAGTGAGAAAGCACCACACAGGGGAGGTGACCACACCCCACTCCCTTCTCTTTCATTCTCCTCTCAGGATTTTAGGCATGCATGCACACATGCCTGGTATGCTTTTCAAACTTCCAGGTCTGGGACTTGAACCTCATAGTCTGCACATGGGATCCAGCTGCCTTAAACATCATACCACCTAGCTAGCCCTACAATGTGATTTTTAAATAAACATATACAATGTGTGATGATCAAACCAGGGTATTTCAAAATAGTTATAAGAAAGGATTTTTAATATTGTCCCACCAAGCCCACATTCCAACAGCATGGAGAATCACGCTGCCAGATCTGGGACTCAAATCACAAAGTCAGTCATGTGGGATCCAGTGCCTTAACCACCATGCCACCTGCTGGCTCCTCTGACTAATATTTAACATATATTTTGCTTGTAGTTATTCGGTAGAACATTTTACATTGCAATGCTTTGAATATAAAAATGGTTTGTTCTCATTTTACCATCAAAAATATTCTTTTTTAAATCCAGAAACTCATAATTAACATTCCTTCACAAAAATATATTTATTAATATTCAAAAAATGTTGTTATGATTTTTTTTTTTTTTTTGGAGAGGTTTTCACTATAGGGCGCGTGCGCTCGCCAGACAGACAGAGACATAGAGACAGAAAGCGAGAAATCACCCCCCAGGGGGGATGGTCATGCCACAATCCCTTCTCCTCCATTCTCCTCTCGGGATCTTGGGCACGCACGCACACGCGCCCGGCGTGAGTTTTAAGCCACTGGGTCCGGGACGTGAACCATGGTCGACTACGTGGGAGTCCAGCGACATAGCCATTATGCTAACTGCTGGTTCTCCCATGATTTATTTTTTTAAATTAAATGCATCATAGTGCCAAAAGACAAAATAGTCTCAGGTTGAGTCACAAAGGCCTTGTGAGCTGCTCCCACATTCTGGCTCCTTTGGCAGTGATGTCATAATGTCTCAGTAAGTCACAGGCCCTGGGGGCCACAGAAAGGAAACTTGGAGAAGACATGGTAGATTACTGCATAAATCACATCAATTTCCCAATGAATTTTATATTGTTTGTTTTTTTATCTGGGGTGTTTTCCTCAGAGGTTAGCAATTTGAAGTCCACTGTTAAAGGTGAGTAAACATTTAATAGTTTCACCAAAAAAGTGTAGGTAAAGATGACCCATAATTATGGAAAATTGATATGTGGCTATTTCTACAGGATGATATAAGCTTTACTGCTGGAGAGGTGGTATAATTTTGAATTTAAATGTCTGCCTCAAATCCTTTGTGAAAACAACGCACTTAGACAAACAAAAATAGTGAAAGAAATCAACATAGTTCTGACCCACAGTACACTATACTTTTTTCTAGGGAGACCTGATGTGATATCGTTAGATGAAGATGAAAATAGAGAGGAAGAAGAAAATTTGAAGGAACATACTCAACATGGGGCTCCAGCTGATGATAACAGTCATGAAAATTTTAGAGATGTGAAACAATGTAAGTCTTTAGAGTTAATACCTATGAGCAAAAGTTGATACTACTTCATCTATCTTAATTCCCCTTTTTAAACATCTGTAATCATTTTAGTTTCTGCATCTTAATTCTAATTTACCATGTAGATTTTTCCATGTGTACAATGAAATCCTTGTTTCCTACAACTTTTTTTCATGAGAGCTATGAAGTTTAACAAGGGTTATCTTGGTGATTACTGTGGTTCCTCATGGCATTGGGGCTGTTCACATCAGTAACGGACCTAATATGAGTGTGGTAGGTTAACTAATCTGTACTTGGAGATGTGTATCAGCCTCCTAAGGCTGCTGAAACAACGTAGCACAAAATGAGTGGTTCGAAACCACAGAAATTTTTTCTTAGTTCTGGAAATTTTTTATCTCCCGAAATCAAAGTCCTGGACAATCCTGTAAAGCCTCTCCCCAAAGCCATCATGCAAGCACCTGTCCTTGCCTCTTCCAGCTTCTAGTATCCCCCGATATTCTTGGCTTCTGGCTGCTTCAGTCCTGGCTCTGTCACTTCTTCACATGACATTCTGCCTGTATCTCTGTGTCTTCGTTTCCCTCTTCGAAGAGCGCTAGTCCCATCAGATTAGGAGCCCACCCTAGTCCAGTATGACTTCATCTTAATTACATCTTCAACAGTCCTATTTCCAGATATGGCCACATTTGAGGTCCTGGGTTTGGGACTTTGGTATGTTCTTTTTGGATGGATACAGTTCAACCTATATCAAAGTGACATCTGGATGTTTGGAAAGGCCCATTAAAATTTTGTTTCTAGTTGACCATTCCTTGGATGGGCTTCCTTTCCATGTCTTTCTAGGGTGTACCATCTACAAAGGGAAAAAGTCATAAGAAACTCTTAGTGAAAAGGAATTATGAAGATTGACTTTAATTATCCTGGGATCTTTATTAATCAAAGAAGATATCTAAGAAAACAATGAAAATGTATGTACATGCAAGTGTTTTGAAAACTCTGAAGTATAAGTTGTAGTTCTATTTTTTCTTTGATGAATCAAATTCTCCTTTTGTGGTGGGAAAAAAATTCCTGATTCTCAGAGAGCTTTCATACTTACCAGAAAACAGAAGCAGGATTGATGTCTAAGCTAGTTCTGGATAACTTGTAGTGTGCAAAATGGCACAATGCAAATCCTGTCCTTTTCAGGATTTATCTCTATTCTGAATTAAACAGGATCAATACATCAAGTGCCTGATAATCACATGTATTAAAGAACCTCTCACATTTTATACATAACATACCCATATGCACACACATGTATACACATTGTAAACAGGCCATACTGAAGAATTGTACTATGACTTGGTGTCCCCTTTGATAACTGGAGTTCTTTTCATGCTTATCTCATTATTTTTAATGGATATATAGTGTTCAAAAAAATGACGTTCCTTAATTTAGCTATTCTTGGATCACAGTACATTTAGATGATGTGCAATTTTTTTCCTCATAAATTCTTTTCACATGCATGCTTGAGTGCTTCTATCTCGGATTGATACCAAGCAATGGAATTGTTGAATGAAGGGTAAATCTTTTTAAATATTGATAGATACCACCAATTTGTGCTCCAAATGTAATAATTACAGCCTCCAAGAATGCTGTATATCCTCACCCACAATGACTGTTGTTAATCATATTTTGTGACTCTGATAAAGTGAGAAATTATCATTGCTTTTTAAATTCACACTCTGATTATTTGTGAAATTGAGTACTTTTTCCTGTATATATTGGACATCCTTTAAACTTCTACTTCTCTCACTTGACTGTTCATATCCTCACCCATTTTTCTTTTAGGTTATATTTTATTTGCAAGGGCTATTATATATTTAGAAAAAAGACATACATACATATATAAGTATTTTTCTCTATATATAGTCTTTTTCAATATATAAAATGTATATTTTTCTATGTATGACACATATACATCTAAAGATATATATATTTTTTTTCCTATGGTAATAGTAGTAATAAATATTTTCTCCTAAGCTGTTGCTTATTTTTAAACCTGTTTAAATATATTTAATCTCAGGGCAAATTTTAAGATTTATAAAATCAGTTCTGCTGATTAATTCCTTTATAATGTCTGTATCTCTTGCTTCACTGAGACAGGCTTTATCCAAATTAAGATACTGAATTATTTTCCCAATTTGAGTTAGTTAGCTAGTGAGTTAGCTAGTTGGTGAAGACTTGATTTTATGTTTTTAGACGTGTTCACAACACAAAACGCAAATGGCAGTGAGTCTGAAATATCTGTGAGAGCGACAACTGATCTGAAATTTGCACTAAAAAACTGTAAGTATTGAAAGGCACTACTATATGTGTAAAAGTCCTTAAAGCAGTGTTTATAAACAGGTGGTATTGGTTCCACTGTATGATAATGAAGTCACATGGGAAGACCCAAGGTTCAGATCCCCGGCCCACCTGCCCACCTCCAACCTTACATCTCCACCCCAAAAGGAAATTCTCGCGAGCTGGAAGGCCAGGGGAAGGATCAGGGTATAACAAGAACCTGTCCGTGTCCTCTCTCCTTTCTCTCTCTCAATAAACTTTAAAAAGAAACAAAAATCAGCATTAGAGAGTGGGTAGGAAAAAAGTCTAACTTTCTACATAAGACAAAAACTTTCTCTCCAATGTAGATTCTGTAATTTTGAGGTTCAACTGAGCTCTTGGTCAGCCACTAGGTGGTTTTTCTTTTCCTCCCTACACTTCCAGCCACACCAACACACCTGAGGCTCCATATCCATTGCACTAATCATTTCAAAAGACAGTGCCGGCAGGTGGCGTGGTGGTTAAAGGTGCTGGACTCCCACAAGGCCAACGACAGTTCAAATCCTGGACCTGGTTGGTGGCTTGCTTTCTCACTTTCCCTCTGTCTCTTTCTCTGTCTCTCTCTGATCAAACAGGAAAATAATAATAAATAAAGTTAAATAAAGTAGTTCTTTTAAAAAAATAAAAAAGGAAAAAGATAGGGAGGGTGCCAGCAGGTGGAGTGCTGGTTAAGGCACTGGACTGCCAAATGGCTGACTACGAATCAAGTCCTGGACCTGGCAGTTTGCTTTCTTACTTTCTCTCTCTCTCTCTCTCTCTCTCTGTCTCTCTCTGGTGACTATAGCAAATTAAGTAATAACAATAATAGATAAAATTAAATAATTCTTTAAAAAGAAAAAAGACAGGGACATTTTTACATCTTTTTTTTTGGTTTCTATAAAAAGAAAAATTAATAACTAAACTTAGAATTTTAGGAACTTATACATCTTTCTTAAACCCATATTCTTACTCCTTCCTGTTTCTGGCCCTGGCAATTTTAGTACTGGGAAAAACCAGACTGAGTCATGTCTGATTATTAATAAAACTGCTTGACAATAATAGAGTATTTTGAGCAGTTTCAAACCTTGGGATTTAAATGTAACAGTGGCATTGCCAGGACATGCCTTCATTAGATAAAACATAAATCACTCCTGGGAATACTGTTTGTGCACAGCAAACATCTTGTGTTGTTTGGGACAAGACACAGAGTACTGGCTCTTAAGCAGAGCTAGCACCTCAAATCATGTCAGGATAAAGCTTTTTGAGGACCACAGGACCCACAGAAGAGATTCCAAAACGCTAAGTTCCACTCCCATAATTCAGGCCCCCAGAGGATAGTCAAAGAAAGTAGAATTGGGATAAATTCCTGCTACTTCAAATGCTACTCCAAGAGGAGACGTGGGGACCATACAGAGGCCAGGACCCTCAGGAAGTAGAGGGCTCCAGGACCATTTTGACTAAGCAGCACCTTCTTAAGTAGAGTTCCTAGTACTGAGGACGAAGGAATAAGCTGAACTACTCCAGACACTTTTCCCCAAGCGTAGCATGGCAGAGTTTAAGTACTACTTAGGAATTTTTCAAGGCCTGCCTGGATTAATATCACCTCGAGTAACAGACTATTACTGTTACAATGTTAGCTGAAGGTAAATTCATACAGTTAGGTAGCTGGGAAAATGTTTTGGTTGCCTAAAGTCTTACGTAGAAAGGCCAACATCGGTCTAAATACCTCTGAGGAGTCAACATTCTGCTGCCCCACAGAACTGGAAAGGTGATAAAGGGTCACAGTCTTTGACTCTCCCTCCCTCTCCATCCTTTCTTGGCAACAAGGGGCCTGCAGTGAGTTTGTTCTTTCAGTCTGAGTCCATTCTGCCGCTCTGAAGATTCCTGCTATAGTGGGTGGCCTCTACTGCATGTGGAACTGATTCCTGAATTAAGCAAAGTTAACTAAAATGACCAATCATGAAGTAAAAATTGGCCTTTTGGCTACCAAATATTTACAGTGACAAAGCTCCAGAGGGACACATTATTGACTGAGCTATATCCTAAACTTGGCCTGAAAATCCTTGATTTATAGTCCAAAATGTTAGTATCTGTAGTTCTATTTCCCATTTACAAGGACACTAACTGTCTCCCTTTTGGTGACCAACCACCTACCTGCCCCAGACTATCACTTCAAGGTCTGTGTGGGGAACTGTCTGAAACCAAAGGTCTCATCCTGACTCATCCTTACACACAGAGGAAGCTCGTGGCCGGTGTTCCCTGCTTTTCCCCGTTTCCCAGATAATGGGTTTACTAATTCCCACCTCAGGCGAACTCTTATCTCAGAAGTCTTCTTTAATGCCTCTTTTTCCTTTCTAAGTTATTTCAGGCAAAGTTCAATGTCTCTCTGATTTTTTCTCCCTCCTTTTGTTTTTAGTTTAATAACATGTTTTTAGCTTAAAGCTATGTCTAACCACAAATGTTTAGTCAATATTTTATATGCTGATAAGCCTTTATTCCTTTCCTTAGATAAAATGATCAACAAAACGACATCTGAAAAACCCATCAGTGAAGAAGAAAAATCTGTTCCAGAATCCTCTCATAAAAATATACAAAGTATTAAAATTACTACACCATATTCATAATTGGAGTATATCATTAATGTGACTTAAAAATCTGTTTCACTACTCTGAGCATTACATAAAGCGCTAGCAGGCTTAAAGGCTTTATACTGCTACATTTTGAATTCACTTCTAAATCTTTTAAATGATGACTGTCTGAGAGTTCATATTCAGATGCACCTGACCAAAGATAGGAAGTGAGCTTTTCTTAGAAACATAATTTCATCTTAATTAGATGTATTGCATTCATATCTGTATTAAAAGGATATTCACTTCATATCTATCTAAATATTTAATGAGTTTTAAATATAGCAATATAAGTATATTAAGTATATTTTAAATATAACTTATTTTGATGATAATGCAAAAATTTCTACCTGCCTGAGGAATAATACTTCCTCCGGTTAGAGTCAATTATTAGTGTTCTCCAAGATTATTCGAGGAGAAGTGGTTGGGAGTGAGAGATTGTAAAATAAAAATGACCATTTTACATTCTTGCCAAGCATATTGTCCCTTATAAATATTTATAAAAAAAGCATAACACTGCAGGGTGGTTCTGCTCTGAGGTCTTGAATGAGCAGTCTAATTGAAGACAATGGACCTGTCATTACATGAAACCCTATTTTCTGCAGTTCATACAGTCTGTTTCTAATACAATTGTTTTAAATTAGATGGCATCTTTAGCACTACTAAAAATAACAAACTTGCCTCCTTTTTGGAGGGGATATGCTTAAAAAATAGAAGGTTGATCATCCTGGCACCACCTTCCTTTGATACCTTTGGTAATTTGCCACTAGGTTTGGGGTCATGTTCTAACTTCTCAACCATGCATCCTGGTCAGAAATAAATTGGCCACTGTGAAAACTTTCCAGTCTCATCTCTGGTCACATTCCCCATTTCCGTTCTTCACTCCAGACTACCTGAAGCTCCCAGACATTACAGAACCTACTCATGACTGAATTCGCCCACAGCTGGAATTTGCTCTCCCTCACTTTGTTAGCCTGGTGTATAACACTAGTCTTCCAAGCCCGCTATGGAACATTGTCTCCTTTTTGAAGGGTTTCCAGCCTTTATGAGTTCAATTAGGCTCCGTCCATATCACCTGTGCCTTTCTAGTAATGTCCTCATTTTCTTACAACATAATCAACGATTCAATCTGTCTGCCTCCAGATTAAGAGTAGGTGTCTTAAGCCTAAGGCCTGTGTCTTGTCCACTTCTATAACTTAGTGCCAAACACAGGGTCTGGAACATGGTAGATACTCAAGGTATAATAACTGGTAAATGAATAAACTAACAAACACGTGAATGTTAGTTAATAAAGTCAAATTATCTTATTTTGTTATCATGTTCTTCTTTTTAAACAGAATCAACCCCAAATGTTCCTGAATTTTGGACAAAGTTAGCTAAAGGTAAATTCATACAGTTAGGTAGCTGGGGGAATGTTTTGGTTGCCTAAAGTCTTACGTAGAAAGGCCAACATCGGTCTAAATACCTCTGAGGAGTCAACATTCTGCTGCCCCACAATAGCAAATGCAAAACAAAACTGGAAAGTTGATAAAGGGTCACACAGTTTTTGACTCTCCCACCCACCAAAAAAAGTTTTAGTCTCCTGCAAATGTTAAAAGCTAGTCATGAGAGGGGCCAGCAGATAACTCGGAGGTTAAGTTGTCTGGATCTCACATGGCCGAATACGCAGTCTAAGTATTGGACCCAGTGACTTGAAAACTGGGCCCATGTGTGTGTGTGCCCCAAATCCTGAGAAGAGAATGGAGGATAAGGGGTTGTGGCATGGTCATCCCCAACAAAGGAGGTGATTTCTCATTTTCCCTTTCTCTATGTCTTTTTGTTTCTCTCCAGTGAGCACATGTGCCCTAAGGCAAAACTAAAATAAAATTTTAAAAATCTAGTCATTTGATTTAATTTATTTGTGATTTGAAAATCTTAAGATTCTTACTCAATAAGGTTTTTGTCCAATACAATTCCTACTTGTGCTTGGAGCAGTGTACATGGTGGTACATGTATAAATGCAAATTATATATAAAAATATAGGCATGCATGAAGGTAACATCTATATTATCAATAAGTAAGCATGCATGCATGTAATGTATGTGCATATATGGATACACATATTATAGATGTAATGTATCACACAGATATATCTGCATACATTCTATATGTGATAATACTATATTCAGCAAATCCTCATTATTTACATTCTGTGTTGTTCTCTAAATCACTCACTCGCTTATATTTTTTTTGTCACCCCAAAATCAATACTTGCAGCACTTTCATGCCAGGAGACACTGGCAAAGCTTCTAAAAGCTTTAGTCTCCTGATATGCACATTCCCAGATAAGGTGGAACAAGGCAATATTCCACCTTCACCTTCCTTTGTCAGCTCTAATATTGTACATAGGTGTCATTTTTGCAGTCCATTTGGCATCACAATTTTGCATTTTTTGTGCTTTTTGTTAACAATTTTGCTGTTTGAAATGGCTCCTAAGTGTAGTGGTTAGCATTCTTAAGCACAGGAAGGCTGAACTGCGCCTTATGGAGAAAATACACATTAGATCAGCTTTGTTCAGCTCTACGTTTCAGTGCTGTTTGTTCTAAGTTGGATGTTAATTAATCAATCGTATATATTAAATAAGATGTTTTTACACAGACACACATAAAATATGTTACACACTGATTGGTTCATGGAATTGCTATGATCGGAGACACACGCGAGCCTGATCCTACATTTACTCCAGGAGCAGCAGTTCAGTATTTTCTAATTCTGGGTTCACAGTGACCAGATAGACTATAATTACCTGGGCAGGCTTGGTGGTCTCCAGGTTAAAGCAGCCGGACCCCACATGACCAACTGTGTGGTTAAGAGTTCTAGACCCAGGAGCTTGAGAAACATGCTGGGCTCATGTGCACGTGTGCCCATAATCCTGAAAAGAGGGACGCACAGAGGACAAGGCATTGCAAAATGACCATTCCCCATGGGAGATGCTTTCTCTTCTCCCTCCCTCTTTGTCTCTGGCAAGCGTAGGCACCCTATAGCAAAAATAAATAAATAAATAAAAATGTTTAAAAAGGAGAACATTACCATAAATAATGAGAACAGACTATATGTCTTATACACACACATATAAGCAAACTATAATTTTAGAAAGTGAATGCTGCTTACCATAACGGTGACTTATTGTCTTAACAGCTATAAGTGAAACAACGAAGAGCATGGATGACAAAGATCAATTATTTCAGCCAATTCCAAGTAAGAACAAAGTATTTCAATTACTAGATACATAAGGTGCACAGATCTGAACGTCTGTATAGCAATATTATTCTCCCTAGTAAAGTGTAGTGTACGCGAGCAGGTACCGTGGTGGCTGGCATCCTATCAGAGAGGACATTTGCTCTTTGAGAAGGGTTGCAGTTCCTAAGCATTCTTCTTCAGCTACCAAGTTGCAGATGGCCACCGTCATCTTCCTGTTTTGTAGCTGTAATTACTGAAACAGGTAAACCAAACGGAGAAGTGAGTGAATGAACAATATACAGAATGTAGTCTACTTTTAATATTTTTAGAGCAGCTTTAGGTTTAAGGAAAATTTTCGGAGAAAACACAGAGTTCTCGTATCTCCCTCCATCTCCTCTATTATCACCATTTTGCATTTGTGTGGCATCTTTGTTAAACTTTATGAACCAATATTGGTACATTATTATTAAGTAAAGTCTAAAGCTTATTAGTAGGGTTCATTCTTTGTGCTGTGGACTTCCCTGGGTTTTGACAAATGCATAATGTCATGGATCCACCATCACAGCATCATGCAAAAATTTCACTGCCCTAAAATTCTCGCTGCCACCATCAATTCATCCCTCCATTCCTCTCACCCCCTGAACCCCTGGCAATCCCTGATCTTTTTACTGTCTCTATAGTTCTGCTTTTCCCAGAATGCCATACAGCTAGAATTATGTAGAATGGATCCTTTTCAGACTGGCTTCTTTGACTCAGCAATATGCAGTTAAGATTCCTCCTTGTCTTTTTGTGACTTCATAGGTCATTTTTTTCGTCACTAATATTCCATTATATGGATGTACTCAGTGTATTCACCTATTGAGAGGACATCTTAGTTGCTTCCAATTTGGGGAAAATTTGAATAAAGCAGCTATAAACATTTGTGTGCAGGTTTTTGTGGACATAAGTTTTCAACTCACTTGGGTAAGCACCTAGGAGCATGATTGCTGGAGCAAATGGTAAGAATGCGTTTAGATTTTTAGGAAATGACCAAACTGTCTTCCAAAGTGGTTGTACCATTTTCCATTCCCACCAGCAATGAATGTGAATTCGTGATACTGTTTACAGTATTTCATTAATGGATAATTGTAAGAGTAAAAAAATCTGGTTTAAATGGAAAGTTTCATGACAAAGCAATATGCTAATTTTTCCTCCATAATCTGCCCTACAAATAAATTATTGAAAATAGCATCTGGGGGCCAGCAGATGGTATAATGGTTACATTGTTAGACTCCTACATAGTTGACTGTTGTTCAAATCCTGGCCCTGGTGTCTTAAAACTCACACCAGACGTGTGTGTGTCGGGGGGGGGGGGGGGGGGTTGCAAAATCCAGAGAGGAGATTGGAGAAGGGATTGTGGCATGGCCATCCCCCATGGTGGGGGTGATGGCTCACTTTCTGTCTCTGTGTCTTTCTGTCTCTCCAGCAAGCACAAGTGCCCTATAAACCTCTCTAAGGACCAGCAGTTAGCGTAATGGCTATGTTGCTGGACTCCCACATAGTCGACCTCGGTTTGCGTCCCGGACCCAGTGGCTTAAAAACTTACACCGGGTGCGTGTGCGTGCATGCCCAAAATCCCGAGAGGAGAATGGAGGAGAAGGGATTGCAGTGTGGCCATCCCCCCTGGGGGTGATTTCTCACTTTCTGTCTCTCTGTCTGTCAGGTGAGCGCACGCACCCTATAGCAAAAACCTCTTCAAAAAAAAAACCCCAAAAAACAACAACAAAAAAAACTCCCTTAAAAAAAAGAAATGAAAAAAGAAAGAAAGGAAAAAGAAAAATAGCATCTGGGGGCCAGCAGATGGCATGGTAGTTAAGGCACTGGACTCCCACATGGCCGACTGTGGTTCGAGTCCCAGACTTGGTGGCTTGCTTTCTTATTTTCCCTCTCGTTCCCTCTCTGGTCAAATTTAAAAATAATGATAATAAATAAAAGTAAATAATCCTTCTTTAAAAAGAAAGAAAAATAGCATCTGATGATACAGCTAGAACCCATCACCTCAGTTTTGCAAAGGATATTTGAAAAGTGCAGCCATTTGTCTCATAGTTCTTCAAGAAAAACAAGTGTGATTTCTTTGTTCAGAAAAGTTATATACAGGAATGACAAATGTTGCATCATTTTAGATATACTTGGTTATTTCTCTTATTTATGTGATTGAGCTTGAGTGATTTTTCTTTTATTGAGCACATATTACATGCCAGATGCCTTAAATATATTATTATGTCATTCCTCATAACAATTCCAGAAAGTTAGCATTATCTCTGTGTCACGGATGAGGAAACTGAGGCTTAAAGAGAAAACCTGTCCAAGTTTAATTAGTTTTTCTGTAACTTACAGTGTTTAGAGATTCTAAATCCTTCCCTAGTTCTGACCATCACCTTGATAAATAAAATGTACTATGAACACATCTCTTAAAAGACTTTTTCAGGAGGTAGAAAAACAATTCAGTAGCATAGCCTATTTTAACACAATTTGATTATTTTCAAAACAATTGACCTCAAAGTCAGATAATAGACAACAACAGCTGTACACATTTCACATTTCACTCCCTTTGGGCTATGATCACGTTTTGGAAATCATAATTTTTAAAATCATAATTTTAAAAAATGCAGGTATGGGGGTTTGTCTTTTCTTCCCCCACTCCCCCAAACGATTTTTGCTATAGGGTGTATGTGCTCTCAAGAGAGACAAAAAGACAGAAAGCAATAAATCACCCCCCAAGGGGGATGACCACACTGCAATCCCTGCTCCTCCATCCTCCTCCTCTCGAGATTTTGGGACACATGCACATGAGCTCTAAGTCACCAGATCCAGGACTCGAACTGCAGTCGACTATGTGGGAGTCCAGCGACGTAACCATTATGCCATCTGCTGGTCCTGTCATTGCTTATTAACTAAATGTCATTACCTGGAAAACAGGGAAAAGCTTTGAAAGTTTTGGGTTAGGGCAGACAGAACTGGGAGAAATAACAACATGGTTATCTAAAGTCATCAAGTAAATAAATTTTATTAAGTCGGATGCATAGTCAGGAAAATGTAAAATTTGGCAGTAAAGATATATTTTCAGTAATAGTTTTAGTAAAAAGACTTGCTATCTCTGGGCCCAAACATATTTTATTATTTACCTTATTTTAGAAAGTTAGGTAAATTGTTTCCATTTTTTGTTGTTGTTGTTATGTCAAATACACTAGGCAAACCTAGCTTTTAAGCCTCATAGAAGCAGCATCCCAGTACACTCTCCTTTTAGCACAAAAGAAAAATCAGTTTGGGCTGGCCCATGGCTTAGTGGCTAAGGGATCAGGATCCTATGTTTCTGACCAAAGTTCAAAATCTGGCCCCAGCAGTTTAAAAAACATAACAGGCATGTGTGCATGCAAATCCTCACAGAGAGAAATGGAAGAAAAAGGATTGTGGCATGACTCCCCATTGGTTGAGTGCTTTCTCTCTCTCTCTCTCTCTCTCTCTGGTGAGTGCATGCCCTTTCTGTCAGTAAAAGGAAGGCTTTTTTTTACAAAGAAAAATCAGTGCATCTACCAACAGCAGAACATGGATCTTGCTCTCTTGAAGGAACAGTCCCTTATAAGTTCATCTTTTTCATAGAAATATTATTGCTACATCTTCAGAGGTTATTAAACTAGCTTCTAGTAAAGTCAAGGAGGAGGACTGCAACATACACATTCTATTATCTGGCAATCTTGGTTTGAAACCAGATTTTGCCATTGTCCAGCTATGTGCCATGAGCAAATAGATAACCATCTCTGAACCTGTGAAACGGAGCTAAGCACGTTTCCCCAGGATTGCTGTGGAAGTTAGAGAGGAAAGTACTCCTTTGCATCACCTGGAGGGAATGGGGAATGCACAGTGACTACTCCCATGGTGGATGGCTTCTGCAGTTGCTCTGAAATCCTTACTCCTCCAGGGAAATATCCTGAACACACTATTTTCTATTGCATTTTTTCCCTTCTCAGGCTCTGATGTGAATGCTACAAATGAAGAAGAAGAAGAAGAAGAATTATCAGAGCTAGATGAAATTAAGTACAAATTAATGCTGGGTATCTCATTGATGACCCTCATCCTTTTTGCAACCCTCCTGGCGTTCTGTAGTATCATGCTGTACAGAATGAAGCAGCTGAGGTGAGTGTGCAGGCCTCTCAGTCCTCCTAACTCATGCTTGATGCCAGGCTCGTTCTCTCCTCTCTTTAGTAGATTGTGAGGAAAATGTGACACAAAGCTTGACTCTAAGGTGTTCAGTTAGACTCCATCTCCCCTATTCAGTAGGAACATAGGGAATGCTCTACTTGAACTTTTCCCCAGTATTATAGTCATCGAATAACCCCATTCATTGAAAAGACTGGAGAGACTCTAGATACACTTCTGTTTTAGACAGCCTTGGAAGAAAACATCTATTCATTCTAAATAGCACATCTGCTAACATTTTCCATTCAAGCAAGCCTTGAAGCTATCAAAAAACAACAAATTTCTCCATAGAATTTATACCTTGAAGGTCATGCATTTATTCTTTTTTATAAAAATATTAAACTTGGGGGCCAGCAGGTTGTGTGGTGGTTAAGGTGCCAGACTCCCACATGACCAACTGTGGTTCAAGTCCTAGACCTGGCAATTTGAAAGTCACACCAGGCATGTGTGGACACGTTCCCAGAATCCCAGGAGGAAAATTGATTGTGGCCTGGCCAACCCCCATGAGGGGTGATTTCTTACTTTCCCTCTCGCTTTCTGGCTCTCTTTGGTGAGCACACAGGCACTGAGGCAAAAACCTTAAAAAAAAAAAATTAAACTCAAGCCTCATTGAGAGGATTATTTAAACATTTTCACAGAGTGTAACAGATTACTTTCCAAACTCCTAGCAAATTTTTTTAATGTTCACAATCACCATGAATTCTTTTGATTATGATGTTTTAAATGAATGATGTGTTTCTCTGGTCCCATAGGTATTTATTCCCATAGTTTAATTATATTGTATATGTTTCTTATGAAATATTTATTAAGGCTACTTTTTACTATTTAGATAAACTGACTTCTAAATTCTGGTCTTGAGGTTTGAAACACGCTTCCTTCACACAAACATTATAACAAAATTACAATTAAGGACAAACAATCATTTCCATGTTACTAAGAAACTAATGCATTCATTTCACAATTCATATATATTACTTTTACTTTTTTTTTTTTTTTTGGAAAGGT